AGACTTTCTAATGTGTTTGTCATTTGATCTATTGAGCTCTTCATTTCATTTTGATTTCTCTTCACTATCACACTTTCCTGTTCTACTAGTTCCTGCGTTTCATTTTGATTCTTCCTTAGAATTTCATTTTCACGAGAGAGATTTTCAATCCTGTCCAATAAGGATTTCTGTAGTTCAAGGATTTGCTTTTTGAAAACTTCTAAATGTTCTTATCATAATTTTTTTGAAATCCGTATTTGCATTTCTTCTATCTCATCATCTTCATAATCTTGGCTTGGGGTGTTCTGTTTATTTGGAGGCGTCATAGTGTCATCGTTGATCTTGTTTCCTCAGTTTTTGTGTTTGTTGCTTGGCATTGTTAATTCTTCTTCCCTCACTGTGACTTTTTTTATATATACTATCTCTGTGTTAAGTGGACTGCCTGCTGTTGGAGGAGCCTTGGAGTCTTGAGATGGGTGTGGCCTGAGAGCTCTGCTTGGTTCTTCCGGGTTACGGGTGTGCAAAGGTGACACCCTCAGGCTATGCGTGGTAAATCTCTATTTATTTATTTTATTTTTTTATTCAGGAGGTAAGTAATACCACACGGCTGAGCAAAATTGATGGTGTTTAGCTTCCGATCTCTGGTTTCTACCCAAAGAGTCTGTGCTGGTTCAGTTTCTCCTGCAGACTCCCACTGGGTTTCCTAGGCTACTGAATTGTAGTGCCTCAGTTCCTTAGCTCTCCCCTTTTGTTATGTATATCCCAAGTGGGGCCTGCTCTTTGTCTCTTGCTCACCTTTGCAAGGTTGGCGGAGAGAGAAACTTGTTTGTACCAGTACCCCCCCACCCTTTTTTTTTTTTTCCTTCTCTCCTGTAGTCAGTCTGGTGAACTTTCCCGCCTCAAAGCCCGCTTCCCTCTAGATTCTGTCCATTTCCTCGCCAATGTCTCGGGTTAATGAGCTCACCTCCCCTTCCAGCGCCGATGTGTGGACTCGGAGCCCTGGGTGTCCCTGCTCTCCCCGCTGGTGTCTGTGTGACATCCACTCCCCTTCCTGCACTGGCGCGCAGACCCTGCGGCTCCCGCAGCTCGGCTTCTGCGCGGTGGGCGACCCTGCTCTCCCAGTAGGTCCTCTGAGTCACAGCCACTAGATCCGGAAGAGTTTCCTCTGCAATTTTTTCCTGATCCTTTTTCTGAGGCTACCTCCACTTTTATTAAATTAAATTTTCCCGGACTATCGGTGCACGCCCTCACTATTCCGCCATCTTGGCTCCGCCCCCTCCATGTTTACCCATTTTTAAAACTGCAATATGACTACCCTTCATCAGTTCACAGATCACTGCATTTTCTTCAAATGCACTGTGTAACCATCATGGAGGTCTAGATGTAGGCCATGACCAGCTCTTGCAAGTCACCATATGTTCCTCTTAAATCCCTATCTCTCTCACTTAGTGTAACCACTTTCTGAGCTCCATTTTTTCTTTTTTTTTTCCTGAATAAGTAATAATAACTTCATTTTAACTCAATGTGCTGAAATACAAAAAATATTTTCAGCAGCAAATGTATGTTTCTCATTAACATCAACTAGTTAAAAATGAGGCTGAAAAGTTAAATACATTTTATATATCTGAATCTTGAAAATTAATTTCCACCATTATTAAATAACTTTAGCAGAATTTTATTTTCAAAAATGGGACTCAAATAAGTTATATCTTCATTTTAAAAACTGAATGCAAAATTAACTGGGTTACAGTTACAATGATAAAATCTAACAACAAAGATTTAAATATAAGAATTCCTTTTTAAACATAAAGTTCACATACTGCAAACAGAAAACAAGGTGTTATTTCATTCTTAGTGAAGAAGTCTTGCAAATGGTAGGCACTCAATATTTGCTCAACTGGATCTAACATTAACATCATTCCAAGAATAGTTAAATAAAGTACAGCTCATAATCCATATAAAATGTTTGCAAAATACTGTTATGTATACTGAAAATGCTGTCTTTAAAATTTGAGAATACTTAAAACAAACCCAAGCACCCACCTACATTTTTTTGAAAGAATACACTGAATATTTCAATTTTACCCAATCAAGAGCATGCTATCCAAGTCAGAGAGTATAACCTCTTTGAGAGTATAACTGGCTAGGAGAAATGCAAAATTGCTGATGGATATTCACAAACTTATCAGATTCCTTGTATTTTAGTAGCACTTTCTATGATCCACAATTTTATAAAGAATTCTGCTTTGATTTTAAATTTATACACAAAACTTAAATGGGTGGGTTAGTTGGTAATTATACTTTTGACAATTTAAGCTCTCAGAGCCAAAAATTAAATAAAAATGTTCATAACAGCTTTGTAAGAGATCTTTGATAATATTTAATTCTGTTATAACTGATGACCTTAAAGGGCACTATCTTCATATTTTATCATGCAGTAAATTGAACATTTTTAAGAATTATAATCTCTGTCAGTTAACTGTGCCCCAAATAAATTACATTTAAGTGAAATATTTCAACCAACCTGAACTTTCAACATTAAACTGAGTCCTAGTTTCAGAAATACACTCTTGAACAAACCACACACAAGCCCAAGCAAATACAAGTACACACATACACACACATACACACAATCACATAATTCATGCAAGGTTCTCCAATTACAAGACAGTAACACATGAGTGTTTAAGGAGATAACATTGTCAAGCCATAGTATGGCACCTATTTGTGTTCCAAAAACCAATATATATTAAAATTCAAAAATGAAAAAGGCACAAATATTGTATATCTTAAAGAACAGTTATCCAATGGTCATTTTTTAAACATGTATTTAAAACAACTCACTACTTTCCTTTTTTTTTTTTTTTTTTTTTTTTTTTGGACAGGCAGAGTTAGACAGTGAGAGAGAGAGACAGAGAGAAAGGTCTTCCATTTTTCCGTTGGTTCACCCCCCAAGTGACCACTACAGCATTGTAGCCGGCACGCTGCCCTGATCCGAACCCAGGAGCCAGGTGCTTCCTCCTGGTCTCCCATGCGGTGCAGGGCCCAAGGACCTGGGCCATCCTCCACTGCACTCCCAGGCCACAGCAGAGAGCTGGACAGGAAGAGGAGCAACTGGGACAGAATCCGGCACCCCGACCGGGACTAGAACCCGGGGTGCCAGCGCCGCAGCCACAGGTGGAGGATTAACCTAGACCACTCACTACTTTCTAAGGAAAAGCCCTATTTGGGTGACAAAAGGGAAGCGAGAACAGACTGATAAATTGAAAGGCAAGATTGCTCTGGAAATAATCTGTGCCTATTTTGAGAATAATGTGTTTTAAAAATGGAAAGAGGAAAAGGCTAGTAGAGCACTTGCTTCAGAATACACTAACAGATTTCATCATTGTTTCAAGCACCCATGATACCAAAAATATACGTAATAAATACAAAATAAATCAACTACCATAAGATGGTAGGCATTGCATTACCAGAAACGTGGACACTTTATAAACATGGATATTCTTAAAGCACAGCGTTTGACATTTTTGGTATAAAATGTGCGACTAAACTTAAAAATCTTTACAAAATCCTTAGGATTTGCAATAAACACTACAGTAGGCAAGGGTAAACTGAAATACTCACTAATACGGTATGATTATTGAAGTCACTGTCGCCAGAAAATGTAGATTAGAGCAGTGAATCAATTCTCAATGTACCAGTGCGGTGTCCTTTAGATATATCAATTTTTTTGATAGATGACAACATTAATTACCAAGCAAATTTTTGTTTTCCTGTAAGACTCTGTTAAATTCTTAAAAGTTATATTTCACATGGAAATTTAATAGGCTCAATCTTAATGGTGGAGTAAAGGAAGTCAATTTTTATTCTCCATAACATTCTTACTTAGGATGAAGTCCATCACCAGGGAACAATATTTCTCCTATTCTAAGAGATTCTTCCAATTTAAGTTGCTACAACAATTAAACATCACAGAGAGAAGCTGAATCTGAAAATGTGATCTTTCAAACTCCTCTTTGTTGTGAATAACAAATGCTTATTTTGATAGTACCTGCTCAAAGTACATATGAATCAGTCCTGATATGTTTGATTCCTCAGTTAACACCTAGTAAAGAGATAGCAAAAATAAAATCTATTGCAAATTCTCAAGCTTCATTTTTCTCCTTTTGCCCTGAACTGAAAAACTAAATAAACAAATTATATAAAGTCTAATCTACAGAATAAAGTTATATATGCAAACACATAGTTATATGCATTTTTCCCCAGTGACACACTTTTCTCTTGTGGTTAAATATAAATTTTACCTAAGAAGCACACTGTCACTGCTACAGTAAGTCAGATCCAACAGCCTGACACTGACTGCTCCTGCTTCTCTGGGACAATGCACCAAAACAGACCTTCCTTAGGAACACAACTCACAAACATTGAACATGTACACGTGTTTAAAGCTAAAACTCATTTGTCGTGAAAAACTGGCCCATGCAAAGCAGTTTATAGTTTTTCCTGTTCACATTGTGCAGAATTTTAATATCATCCACAGTTAACAGTAATGAAACACAAAGGAGAACACAAGGGAGAAAGTTTCATAGTGCAGCCTGAAACAATCTTAAGAGTTCTCTCCTTTGTGTGCATCTTGCACATGCAAATTGTATTAGTTCACTGTTTGAAGGAGAGTAGACTGCCCAGGAATTGTTTATTGTTCAGGTGCCTTTTCCAAAGTGAAGAACCTTAAAAATCAAACCAAGATGGAGTGACCTAAGCCAATACCATTAAAAACAAGAAGTTACCTTTGCCCCAAATAAAAAATTACAGCCCTAAACTTTTTCCCCCAAAGCTAAAATTAGGTGCAGCTATAAAAATAAGGGACCCTATGCTTAGCTAGCTGCGACACTTGTGCCTGGCTGTGCTAAGACCTAACCCAGTTTGTATGCCTCCTAATACTCAAATAACGGTGTGGGAAGCGGGACGCCGCTCTCCCACCAGGGGAACAAAGGGAGCGAGACGTCGTCCCCCTCAGGGTGAACAAGATGGCGCTGGCAGGGAAAGGAACTACTAAAGAAGTAAACAACAAAATGGCGACGAGGTGCATGCCCCCATGTGATCCCGTAGCTGATTGGATAGAAGACGCATGCCCTTCACATGATCAGCTCGCGGATTGGACTGCTGTGTGCATGGACTCTGTAGTGCTTTTGATTGGTTGCTGTGGGTATATAAACCGTGTGGCTTTGTGCTGGGGGCGCTCTCTGGACTCCGAGTTCAGGAGGCCCGTCTGCGCAGACGCCGAATAAATCCTCTTGCTTTTGCATCAGCTGGTCTGGAGTCTGAGTCTTTGGGGTGTGCCCCTCGACGTGTTAGCATCCTCACTCTGAGGGTCTTACATTTCGGGGGCTCGTCCGGGATTGGTGCGCCCCCAGACTCAATTCCAGGTTCGGCTGGAAGTAAGAGCTAGCTCAGTTTTCATTTCGTGTTGCTGTTGTGTGTGTGTGTGTGTCTTCGGTGTTTTGAAAAACTGTACCTGTACAGGGCTTGTTTCGCTTGGGCCAGCGGAGGAGGCAGACGTGCCCTGAGACCCCTGGTCCCGCCCTGGAGGACGCTCCAAGAGTTTTGTGGGGGAGGGAGAGAGATCAGGTCTCTCTCCTCCCCGGGGAACCCGGCCGTGATCGGCCGCTCCCCTCTCGATTCGTACTTTCGGTTTGTTCCTGATCAGTTGCCACGCGACTTGTGTGGTTTGTTCTGTTCGTCTGTCTAGTCAGTGTCCTGCACGTTGTCGATTCAATTGTTTTACCCATGGGTCAACAACTAACTACTCCTTTAAGTCTGACTTTAGGACATTGGAAAGAGGTCACGAAATGGGCACATAACCAGTCAGTGGAAGTGCGCAATAAAAAGTGGCTGGCTTTCTGTACCTCTGAGTGGCCCTCCCTTGAGGTCGGATGGCCGCGGGACGGCACTTTTAACCTTACTACTATTTTACAGGTCAAAGAGGTTTTCCAACCAGGACCACATGGACATCCTGACCAAGTGCCCTATATTGTCACCTGGGAGAGTCTCTCCCGAGATCCCCCAACATGGGTTAAGCCTTCCCTTTCCTCTTTAGGGGCACAGACCCCGAAACCAGGCCCCAGGCCTTCTTCAACCCCATTTGTGCCTTTACCTTCGGCGCCACTCACTTCTTCTTCCCTTTTTCCCCTGAATGAACCACCTAAGCCTATGCCTAAAACTCCACCAGTTCTCCCAGATACTCAGGAAAGTCTTCTACTTCTAGACCCAACTCCTCCGTACCCTCCTCGGGTCCCACCACAGTTGGTTCAGGAACCCCAGGACCCCAAGCCGCCCTCCCCCAACTCCACCGAAATGGGAGGGTTAGAGCCTTCCTCCTCCCCACCCTCTACTCACCTGCGGCTGCGAAGGGAACATGCCAGTGGCCCGGAGGGTGTCTGGTCCTCTCAAGCATTTCTTTTAAGGTCGGTGGCTGGCCAGATTCAGTATTGGCCGTTGTCCACCTCCAACCTATACAACTGGAAGACCCATAATCCCTCCTTTTCCCAAGACCCCCAAGCTTTGACCAGATTAATTGAATCCATTCTACTCACTCACCAACCCACTTGGGATGATCGTCAGCAACTTTTACAGGCCCTCCTCACCACGGAGGAAAAACAGCGAGTCATATTAGAGGGTCGTAAAAATGTGCTGGGAGCAGATGGCAGGCGACCCAACTGCCTAACGAGATCGAGGACGTCTTCCCTCTGACTCGCCTGGAGTGGGACTACAACTCCGTGGCCGGTAGGGAGCAACTCCGTCTCTATCGCCAGACTCTGTTAGCGGGTCTCAAAGGGGCAGGGAAGCACCCCACCAATTTGGCCAAGGTACGTGCAATTATCCAGGGTCAGGAAGAGACACCGGCAGGGTTCTTAGAACACTTAATGGAAGGTTATCGCATGTATACCCCTTTTGACCCTTTGGCCACCGAATGCCAGTCGGATGTAATTATGTCGTTTATCGGACAGTTGGCTCCTGATATCCAAAACAAGTTACAACAACTGGACGGGCTGCAAGGGTATACATTACAGGACCTACTAAAGGAGGCAGATAAAATTTTCAATAAAAGGGAAACACAGGAGGAAAAGGAAGAAAGATTACGCAAAGAGCAAGAGCGGAGGGAGGACATCCAGGACAAAAAGCGGAATCGAGAATTAACCAAAATTTTGGCCACGGTAGTGCAGGGTGCAGGGCAAGGTAGGCCAGGACAGAATAAGACCCTGGGAGACAACAGAAGGCCCCGAGTAGAACGAGACCAATGTGCCTACTGCAAAGAAAAGGGACACTGGGTTAAGGACTGCCCTAAGCTGTCTCAGGAAACTAAGACAAAGACAGTTCCAGTCCTGCCCTTGGGGGAAGACAACTAGGAAAGTCAGGGCCAGGAGCCCCCCGCCTGAGCCCAGGGTAACTCTTGATGTAGGGGGGCACCTGGTGACCTTCCTGGTAGATACGGGAGCACAACATTCAGTGCTGACCGAGGCCAGGGGCCCTCTGAGTTCTAAAACTTCTTGGGTCCAGGGAGCTACTGGGGGAAAATTGTACAGGTGGACAACTGAACGAAAGGTCCATTTGAACACCAGACAGGTGACTCACTCGTTCCTACTGGTGCCAGACTGCCCATACCCCCTATTGGGCCAGGATTTGCTTTCAAAAGCGGGGGCCCAAATTCACTTTCATGATAAGGGGATTTCAGCCACTGGCCCAGAAGGGCAGCCCCTTCAAATACTGACAATACGCCTAGAGGATGAACATCAATTGCTCGGAAAAAAAACCAGCTAATACAACCTCTCTAGACCCCAAGTGGTTAACGGACTTTCATCAAGCTTGGGCAGAAATGGCCAGAGTAGGATTAGCTGTCAACCAGCCGCCCCTAATAATTGACTTAAAACCCTCGGCCACCCCAGTGTCAATCCGGCAGTATCCTACGAGCAAAGAGGCCAAGGAGGGCATCAGGCCCCATATAGAGAGACTGTTGTGGTTGGGCATCTTAAAACCATGCCGCTCGCCTTGGAATACCCCCCTCCTCCCAGTAAAAAAGCCAGGCATGGGGGACTACAGGCCAGTGCAGGACCTACGGGAAGTTAACCGAAGGACGGGAGACCTGCACCCTACTGTGCCCAATCCTTACAACCTGCTAAGTACCCTACCACCAAGCCATCAATGGTATACGGTACTAGACCTTGAAGATGCGTTCTTTTGTTTAAGACTGAGTCCTCAAAGTCAACCCCTGTTCACCTTCGAATGGAAAGACCCGGAGGCCGGACTTTCCGGACAACTCACTTGGACAACATTGTCACAGGGGTTTAAAAATTCGCCTACCCTGTTCGACGAGGCCCTGCACCAGGATCTGGCAGACTTCCGAGTCAACAACCCCAGCATAGTCCTCCTTCAATATGTGGACGACATGCTTTTGGCGGCAGAGACCAGGAGTGTCTAAAAGGTACGGGGGCCCTGCTAAAAAAATTGGGGGAATTGGGATACAGAGTCTCCGCGAAACAGGCACAAGTGTGCAAAAGACAGGTGACCTACCTGGGATACCTGCTAGAAGGTGGTCAGCGGTGGCTAACAGAGGGCCAGAAACAGACAGTCGCCCTAATTCCACTGCCCAAGAGCGCCTGACAAATGTGAGAATTTCTCGGCAGTGCAGGCTTCTGCCGACTATGGATACCAGGATTTGCGGAATTAGCAGCACCTCTGTACCCCCTCACTAAACCCAATGCCCCCTTTATATGGGAAAAAGAACATCAAATGGCATTTGATCAAATCAAAAGGGCTCTATTGTCAGCCCCTGCCCTAAGCCTCCCCGATGTGACTAAGCCCTTCACATTGTACGTTGATGAACAAAGGGGAATAGTAAAGGGCGTCCTGGTTCAGAAACTGAGACCTTGGAAAAAGCCGGTGGCTTACTTTTCAAAAAAATTGGATAATGTGGCCACTGGTTGGCCCCCGTGTCTGCACATGGTGGCCACAGTGGCAGTCCTTGTCAAAGACGCAGATAAGTTGACTCATTGACACCATCATCCAGCAGCCGCCAGATAGGTGGCTCTCCAATGCCCGAGTGACTCACTACCAAGCTATGTTGCTCAACCCGGAGCGGATTCAGTTCGGACCTGCCACCCCCCTGAACCCAGCTACCCTGCTCCCGGATATGGAACCTGGCACCTGGGTACCTCATGACTGTCATCAAATCTTGGTTGAGGCCCATGGCACCCGGGAGGACCCGACGGATCGGCCGTTACCGGATGTGGAACACACCTGGTACACCGACGGGAGCAGTTTTCTACAAAACGGTGAGCAGAGGGCAGGGGCGGCCGTGGTAGATGGACACTCCATAACATGGGCAAGCACATTGCCTGTGGGAACCTCGGCTCAGAAAGCCGAGCTTGTGGCCCTCACACAGGCCCTTAAACAAGCTAGCGGAAAAAAAGTTAACATCTATACTGATAGCCACTATGCATTCACTACTGCCCATATACATGGAGAAATTGACCGAAGAAGAGGCCTCTTAACCTCAGCAGGAAAAGACATAAAAAACAAGACTGAAATTTTAGACCTCTTATGGGCACTTTTCCTACCTAAAAAGTTGAGCATAATTCACTGTCCTGGACACCAGCGGGGAAGTGACCCTATAACAAGAGGAAATAAAATGGCGGACGAGGTTGCCAGAACGGCTGTGGTAGGCCCGCAGACTCTATACCTGAGTACTGTGGTGGCCCACCATACGCCAGACCACGGGGACCTCCCCTTCCCCTACTTAGATCAAGATTTGGACGAAATCCAGCGGCTTGGGGCGGATTACAGTGAACAAAAGGGAGTTTGGACATTCCAGGACAAAGTTGTCCTGCCCCACAAAATGGCCCGTGAACTAATAACTCAACTCCATAAGTGGACTCATTTAGAACATAAAAAACTAAAAATGCCGCTGCAACAAAAAGATCAACCTTACTTTATCCCAAGGCTTAACTCTCTAGTTCAACAGGTCACCGAGTCCTGCGTTCCCTGCGCTAAGGTCAATGCGGGGCGCCTCAAGCTGCCGGAAGGAACAAGGTCCCGGGGGGATCAACCCGGAGTCAATTGGGAGGTAGACTTCACCGAGGTTAAGCCAGGAAAATATGGTAACAAGTATCTCCTAGTTTTTGTAGACACCTTCTCTGGGTGGGTGGAAGCCTTCCCCACCAAACGAGAAACCACTCAAGTGGTCGTCAAAAAAATCATCGAGGACATCTTCCCGCAGTTTGGTCTCCCTCAGGTAATTGGGTCTGATAACGGACCTGCCTTCGTCTCCCAGGTAAGTCAGCTGGTGGCCAAAACACTGGGGATAAATTGGAAATTACATTGTGCTTATAGACCCCAAAGTTCAGGACAGGTAGAAGGGACAAATAGAACAATTAAAGAGACCTTAACTAAATTAGCTATGGAGACTGGCACTAGAGACTGAGTCCAACTCCTCCCTATGGTCTTGTTCTGGGTCCAGAACACCCCCTCACACCATGGGTTAACCCCATATGAAATACTGTATGGGGGATCCCCTCCCGCCACAAATCTGCTTGACCCTATGCTTGACCCCTTTATTAACGCACCTAATTTGCAGGCACGACTAAAGGCGCTCCAGATTATACAGAACCAGATCTGGAGACCTCTAGCTGCGGCCTACTGGACCGGGAACGCGTCAGTCCCTCACTCCTTCCAAATCAGCGACTCTGTCTACGTCCGAAGACACCAGTCTAAGACTCTTGAACCCCGCTGGAAGGGCCCCTACACTGTACTGTTGACCACTCCAACAGCCCTTAAGGTAGACGGAATCGCCGCCTGGGTTCACGCGTCCCACGTCAAGCGAGCACCATCGGGAGCTGATAGAGCTTCGGGCGAGCCAGCACAATGGAAATGGCAACGCACCCAAAATCCGCTCAAGCTGACTTTAAAAAACTCCATAATGCTTCTAACTTTGCTTACTTCCACCGTAATAGCCAGGAACCCCCGCCCACGTTACCCTGACCCAAGTTTCCGGAAAGGGAACATGCCTAGGAAACCCTTCCCCGTCTCATATACAACTGTGTAATGTTACCATCCCAAGTGCAAATTTAACAACCTATGCCCATGTTAGTTCAGGCTACGGAAACTGGTGGGCTTGTAACAAGGGACTTACCCCCTGTGTCCCTCGGTCCTTAGTGCCACCCAGGACTTTTGTTATGGTACAGCTAGTGCCTAAAATAATTTACCATCCAACCAACACACTAGAAGATTCCTATGATAGACGCCCCACCCGCATCCGTAGAGAGCCAGTTTCTCTGACCCTAGCAGAGTCCTGTTAGGGCTCGGAGTTGGGGCCGGGGTTGGAACTGGAACAACAGCCTTAATCCAGGGTACTCGGCATTACAATGACTTAAAAATCGCCATTGATGAAGACATACAGGCCCTGGAACAATCTATAACTAGGCTGAAGGAATCCCTCACTTCCCTGTCCGAGGTAGTCTTACAGAATAGAAGGGGGGCCTTTGTGCAGCCCTTGGTGAAGAGTGCTGTTTTTATGTTGACCACTCGAGAGTCATAGAAGACTCCATGGCAAAACTAAGGGCTAGGTTGGACGAAAGACATAGAGATCAAGAGGCCCAACAAGGCTGGTTTGAGGGGTGGTTCAACAAGTCCCTCTGGTTAACCACTCTCATTTCCACAGTCACGGGCCCCCTCATTATCCTCCTCCTAATTTTAACTTTTGGCCCGTGCATCCTCAATCAATTGCTGCAGTTCATCCGGGACCGGCTGTCCATCATGCAGGCCCTTGTACTCACCCAACAATACCAGGCACTCAGGGACGACGCTGACCTTTAGATTTTAGGATTAAAATCTCTCCAAAAAGAAAAGGGGGGAATGAAGAACGTTAAAAATCAAACCAAGATGGAGTGACCTAAGCCAATACCATTAAAAACAAGAAGTTACCTTTGCCCCAAATAAAAAATTACAGCCCTAAACTTTTTCCCCCAAAGCTAAAATTAGGTGCAGCTATAAAAATAAGGGACCCTATGCTTAGCTAGCTGCGACACTTGTGCCTGGCTGTGCTAAGACCTAACCCAGTTTGTATGCCTCCTAATACTCAAATAACGGTGTGGGAAGCGGGACGCCGCTCTCCCACCAGGGGAACAAAGGGAGCGAGACGTCGTCCCCCTCAGGGTGAACAAGATGGCGCTGGTAGGGAAAGGAACTACTAAAGAAGTAAACAACAAAATGGCGACGAGGTGCATGCCTCCCATGTGATCCCGTAGCTGACTGGATAGAAGACGCATGCCCTTCACATGATCAGCTCGAGGATTGGACTGCTGTGTGCATGGACTCTATAGTGCTTTTGATTGGTTGCTGCGGGTATATAAACCGTGTGGCTTTGTGCTGGGGGCGCTCTCTGGACTCCGAGTTCAGGAGGCCCGTCTGCGCAGACGCCGAATAAATCCTCTTGCTTTTGAATCAACTGGTCTGGAGTCTGAGTCTTTGGGGTGTGCCCCTCGACGTGTTAGCATCCTCACTCCGAGGGTCTAACAAAAGTACGAAAAAACAGGAATAAATTCAGTAATGAATATCTGAAATCCAAACCAATTTAAATATAATCAAGGAGACCCTTCTTATCTATTATCACAAATATCCCAGTTGCTTCCATGTGTCTTAAAAAATCATTTCAAAAGTTGACACAATTAATTACACCTTATTAATTCCCTCAAAACAGGAAAAATATATGTACCACTCAGCATACAAAAGTTACACATGAAAAGTGCATATATATCTTTCTTAATTGATCTACTCATTAAATTTACATTCGGTCATCCTTAACTTTTTTTTTTTTTTTTTTTTTGACAGGCAGAGTGGACAGTGAGAGAGAGAGAGAGAGAAAGGTCTTCCTTTGCCGTTGGTTCACCCTCCAATGGCCGCCGCGGCCGGCGTGCTGCGGCTGGCGCACCGCGCTGATCCGATGGCAGGAGCCAGGAGCCAGGTGCTTTTCCTGGTCTCCCATGGGGTGCAGGCCCCAAGCACCTGGGCCATCCTCCACTGCACTCCCTGGCCACAGCAGAGGGCTGGCCTGGAAGAGGGGCAACCGGGACAGAATCCGGCACCCCGACCAGGACTAGAACCCGGTGTGCCGGCTCCGCTAGGCGGAGGATTAGCCTAGCGAGCCGCGGCGCCGGCCCATCCTTAACTTTTAACATGTACAGAATTCTCATATAAATATAGGTCACTATAAGTTTTTTAAAAATTACTTCAGCAGAAAACATGCTTTCTTGTTGAAATCTTAACCTCAATTAGTTCTCGATCACTGTAAATTTGGATAATCCCACAGTTTGTTAAACAGTTAACATACAAACACCACAAATTTTACTAAAAGTCTTGGCCAACTCATTGCATATTTGCCCCTTGAAATGAAAAATAAATTAGAACTGAAGCAGTATATTGCCATAACTTACCTTGAAGGTAAGCAGGCTCATCTATATTTATATAACTTAGACTGGAGACATTACTGGTAATTTCTGATACACGTACTTTTAAGAAGAATCTACAATTAAACTTTGAGATAGCACAAGACAAAACCTCTAAATTCATTTTTCTTTTCAAGAAATAATGGAAGATCTTTTTGAAACTTAGTATCTTCAGTTATCCAAATCACCGCATTATGGAGCTGCGCAATCCTACGTAGCCTGGTCAAAATGGCAAGGCACAATAAAAAAAAAATTAAAGTATTATATAAACAAGAGAAGTCATTGATAATTTAAGGCCTTGAAGTGAATTAATCAGACTAATTTAAAGCTTAAGAATAAAACATAAATTATCCACCTGAAATGCAAGTAATATGCTTTTCACCATCTGTTCTGTGTACAAGAAAACAGATACAACTCTTGCTTATGGTTTGTATATTAGCATCCTTTTGGACCTGGAAGGGTAACGGTCAATTCCATTTTTATAGTGTTCATGGAATATGTCAGGACTGTTTTAGCCATTTGCGAGGAATGCCAAACTGTGAACACTGTGCAGAGGCAAGTGCTCAGAAGGCTTCTGCTACTAAGTGAGGGCGTGACTGAATCATGGACTTCCACCCTGATGTTTCCGTTACGTCAGTTGCTTGACTGCTGTTCCAGATTTTCCCATCTTCACACCCAACCTGGCAAAGCACAGTGCACCTGTTAATAAAATCTATAGCTTGTGCTTTCAACCGTTCTGCATTGTACAAATCTGCAAGAAGAGGGGCATCAGCAACATTTTCTACTGAAAGGTCAATACACAAAGTTCTTCACACATGACCTAAAGTCGCTCCAGTGCAGATCTGTCTGCAGCTGCCAACAAGTTGACAGCCATTTTATCAAGATTTGGTGGTTTCCTGTGTAAACGAATACCATCATTTCTTTAAAAAGGTCAGGGTCTAAATCACTTATTTCTACTCAATTCTTTTGCTTTCTTCCATTTCATGGTCAAACATTGCGTTGAAAACTGGGGATTGGGCTGCAAGTACAGATTTATGAGCTTTAAATTCTTGTCCACGCGCAAAAAAAACTGCAATCTGTAAATCTTATGTTTTCCCAGAAGTCACCTAAATCTTCTGCTAGTCGACATTCAGGCACCTTCAAAGCACTTGTATTAGTATGTCCGGATTTGTTTACCGCATCTTGGACCACACTCACCTCACAAAATAATATAAGCTTGTCATCTGGTAAAAGACCATTGGTTTCATCAAGCAAAAAAATCCTTTCTAATGAATTTTTTAAAACCCCAGTCCTGGGGCTGGCGCCATGGCACAGTGGGTTAACTCCTTGGCCTGAAGTGCTGGCATCCCATATGGTCCCAGCTGCTCCACTTCCAATCCAGCTCTCTGCTGTGGCCTGGGAAAGCAGCAGAAGATGGCCCAAGTCCTTGGGCCCCTGCACCCACGTGGGAAACCCAGAAGAAACTCTGGCTCCTGGCTTCGGATTGGTGCAGCTCATCCAGTTGTGGCCAATTGAGGAGTGAACCAGCAGGTGAAAGCTCACTCGCTCACTCTCTCTCTCTCTGCCTCTCCTTCTCTCTCTGTGTAACTCTTTTAAGCAAATAAGTAAATCTTTTAAAAAAAATAAGAAAGGCTTTGCTGATGACCTGCTCCAAAGAGCAACCCCTTAGGCCTTCCTGATCCTCCCACTTTACCTAGCCTGATATCTTCCATTAGCACATTCTCCTGCTTACATGCTATTTGTGTTTATTCCTTTGTTTTTATATTATCTCCCTCTGCTGGGACACAAGCGCTGTGTGAACACAAATTATTCTATGCCTGGCATACAGTGGGCAGTAAATAAAGATATGGCTATGGAGACTGGGGTCAGAGTGACAGCTAAATTTAATTACTAGCAGATGTTGTCTTGGAAACTTTGAGGACAGATATTTCCTGGCAAGTCAGATTTGAAAACAGGCAAGTAACTCTCAGCTAGGGTCTTGGCTTGCATCCTTTGTTCTCCATGGGACTCTAAGCACTTTCTGTTTTTTTCTTTGCTTCTTTAAAAATGGCAAAAATGATAAATTTCTATTTGTTTTTCCCAAATAGGTTTGTCATTTATTGTGTTTCAGGCTAAAATCTCACATTTTTTTTTCTTTTGTTTAAAGGGAAATCCTCACATTCACCTGATACTCAGATGAATGTGAAAGTTAAAAATCTTCTCATTCAAAAGAGCACACAGCACAGATTGAGTAAGAATGAAAATGCCTGTGGAGACACTTCTGGGTGGTCCACATTGTATATTGCCTGTAAGTTTCACTCTTTTCTTGTCAAAGACTTGAGATTCCATTCTAAAAATAAATCAACTCAGTTGGGTTAAACAGTCCAAAGAAAACAAAAAATTTATTATCAAAATAATAATCTAGGCCTTGAATATTTCTTTCTCAGACTGAACTGAGATTATTTCTAGAATCAAAGCAGATGTCACCCATCCTGACTAAACTACACTATTTTGCTCTTGGACTTATATGAGATTTTTTCCATTTGGTGGCTGCAATTTTCCAATCTCAGTGTAAAATTTACTTTCTGGATAAAGACAACAATTTGGAAGTCTCTAAGCAAAATCCTGCACCAGCAGTGTACAGCAACTACATGTCCAAAGTGATTAATTTTGAAACCCTTTCAATGTTCCTGAGATTTGTCAGCATACCAGAACTTGGCGTGAAATGAAGATTTGCCAAACAGCTTCCCCTTAGCATGAAATCTTGAGTTGATTTAATGTCCAATGACTGGTACACCCCAGCCCAGCCCAGCCCAGCCCAGCCAAGAATGCCATTAGAAGTCTGGGGACATTTCTGTTAACTGTATTATCAGCCATCTTCTTAGGTCTCATCGAATCTCTGCTTAGTTGTTCCAACATTAAATAAGAATAGCTGTTAAGAATTTCTCCTTTGTTGAGCAAATCTTATCAAATTGTCACTTTCAATTTGAGACAATCTTTCAAAACCTTAATAAATTGCAGTGTACACACTTCCAGTCTTTGCTGGATATAATCTAATATCTAGCAACCTCCAGATATCCCACTTATTTCCAACCGTTTCTTCCATCTCAATTATCTCATAACTACCTTTGCTTTAGTTAACTCATAGAGATGAAGAAACATAATGAATGAAAGGAAGGTTCCTTCTCTCTCTGCAAACTATCAGGTGTGTGTCTATGTATGTGTGTATGTATGTGTGTCTAGTCCAATAAAGGAAGAAAACTGTGTCAAGCTGAGGTTTTTGATACAGTCACCCATCATTCTAGTCTAGAATGGACTTTTGTGTGACTGGGTAGATTTGCTTTAATTCTCAGTAAACAAATATGCACCTCCCCCCATACACACACATTCACGTGAGTGTACGTGGACATACATCAACCATACTATTCATCCCAGATAATCTACATCAATTTTTTGTAAATAAAATCAGACCCAAGGAACAAATCGTCCAATGAATACTGAAAAGTAATTCTAAGTTTATTATAAATCTATTAGAGAAGGTATGTATGATTGCTTGAATTCTGGTATGCCCTGAAATTTCATTTGTTGAAATCCTCACCTCGAGTCATACAATATTTTGGTGTGGTACCTTTGGAAGGTTACTGGCTAATGAGGGTACAGTCCTCAAGAACGGGATTAGTGCCCTTAAAACACAATCTCCAGGGAGCTCTTCAGTGCTCTTTCTACCATGTGAGGGCACATTAAGAAGTTAGCAGTCAAGAAGACAGCTCTCACCAGAACCCGGCCCTGCTGGCAACCTGACCTGAGACTTCAAAAACAGTGAAACTTCTGTTGTTTATAAACCCCCCAATCTTAGTCCTTTGTTACAGCAGCATGAATGAAGCAAAACAGAAAACACAGCAAATCACATTTGGTCAAGCCTAAGATCTTTACCAGTAGCTGGAGCTCATCAACATTATTTGCAGTGTTTTCTTCTTTAGTCAAAGATGAAGTAAATACTGGGGAAATGCTACTATTTGTTTATCCACAATGGTGGGTAAGTGAGCATCTGTTACATGTCTTAATATGTTTTTAATATTTGCAATGAA